CCCCCCTTTGAAAGTGTTGAAAATTATTTCAATACTTTCACATTATTTACATAACATTTATCCACTACTATTTTAAGAGTTAATATTTGTTTCAGCATATGTTGGTGGTGGACTGTATTCTGGTGGAATAATTGGAACCTCTCTCGTGACCATGCGGTTGACTGCAATCCTGTTAGTAAATTGTCTCTTCAGGCAAGCATATAGCAGCATGATCATCAAAAAGACAATTAGTAACAGAAACAGAGTTTTGATTATAGACTGTACCCAAGAGCTCAGATTCCATCTTAATCCGCTAAAAATTTTTCCCAGCCAATCTTCTGACGTATCCTCTCGAATGGTTCCAGTTTCTTTTTCAATTTTGCTCAGTAACTCCAAATCATGTTCTACATCCTGAGTGACATTAGGAATATGAATACAACAATGGTCCAATCTATCCTTGAGGTATCCACATACTCCATGTTCTTTAAGTAAAAGTAGGTCTAATGCCATTCTATTTTGAAGAGTCATCTTAGAAATTGCCTGCAGTTGTATATTCATTTCCTTGAACCCTTTTTTTGTGATGTTTGCTAATTTTTCTACCTGACCTGTTAACTGATAGAGCCATTCTCTGTTTCTATATGAAGCTATAGGGTTCAAAAGGGATTCAAGAGCCCAGACAATTTTCACTCCTGTTGATGGTTCGTTCCATGTATCATCATCTATTTCAGACCTCTTGGTTCGTTTCAACTTTAAATTCTCCAAGGGTCCTTTAAATGGCGATTTCTTCCAAATGGGGCACAATGTTGGCATGCCTAAAGTAATTTGTTTTACCATACCATCTAGTGATAACTGAGTTGTCCAGGTTCCATCACTTAATGCCCAAACCAAATGTCCTGGACTCTGAATGGCAGATTTTCTGCAACTGAAAAAAGTTCCCCTTTTGGGTATGAATGTTTCAGTCAATTTGAGATCATTTTTAAGTCCTCTACACAAGCAGCCATATTTCAAGGCCGCAGCTAAAGGGGGAATTCTTTCGATTGCTGGGTCTTTAGTACTACAGTTGTAAATTTTCTCACATTTCCACCAAGATACCACATTTTCCTTTCCTCGGAATGTACTCCCTTTGCCATTTACTGATGGCCAAACTGTGTAAACTGATCCATCCCAAATAAAACACCAAGAAGTTTTGGCCATATATTGAAATTGAGACAGTATGGTCATAGACCATACTGAATCCCAACTGACTCTTTTTTCTGGTATAGTCTGATTAGTCTCACCACATTTCCATTCCATGATGCTCCGGCTCTCATTGGTTTTAACTCGTACATCATACGAGCACCACCCCATAGGACTACCCACTGCAAATATGTCTCCTGTAGAAGAGGCTGGTGTAAAATGATGATTCAATAATTTCAGACAATCCTTTTCTCTGCCCATCCATTTCCATTGTTTTCTGATGACCTTCACCTGTTCAGACCATTTAGTCACTGGCCTTTGTTTGCAGTGAGTGGTTTTGTTTTTATGTTCCAGGGTGGTTAAATTCATAGTTAGAATTCCCCAAGGAATATATTCCCCTACTGCTCTTGGTATTGGCAAACAAACAGTAATCTGGGTAACATTTTGCAAGCTGGCGAATCCCTTAATCAATCCTAACATCAAATTTTCTTCAGACATTTTTTTAGGAATGCTGATCAATTGTTCTGTTTCTACTTGTCTTTTGTTCCTAATCATCAAATCAGTCCAGGTTCCCACCAACATCATCTGCCGAACTAATATAAAGAGAACAATCACAAACAGATATGAAAAATTAGACATGTTTCAAAGTCAGTTTTAAAGTCTCTGGGTCACGGCTAATAATCTTCCATGGAGTAGGTGCCTTCTTCACTCGAGTGTAGTGTATCCAAGCATCCGATTCTGCAATCTTAATAGCCATGAAGGTGGTTAACAGTATCTGGAAGGGTCCCTTCCAACGTTCCTGCAGGGGTTCGGAAGCCCACGTTTTCACATAGACATAATCTCCTGGTTGAAAGTCATGCACCGGAGCTTCCAGGGATAATGGTCTATTCCACACCACTACTCTGCGAATTGCAGTCAAAGTTTTTCCTAAGGAAAGCAAATAGTTATACACATCTTGTTTCCCTTTTACATGCATGTTTGGGTTTGGTTCTGGGGACTCATAAGGTTTTCCATACAATAATTCATAAGGACTGACTGAGGTTCCACTCTTTGGCTGTACTCTGATTCGTAATAATGCCAATGGAAGTGCTTGAGGCCATTTTAAATTAGTCTCTTGACAAATTTTACTTATTTGCCTTTTTAAGGTTTGATTCATTCTTTCTACTTTCCCACTGGATTGTGGCCTCCATGGGGTATGCAAATCCCATGTAATACCCAAAATTTTGCTAACATTTTGGACTACTTCTGCAACAAAGTGTGGACCTCTGTCAGAAGAAATCCCAATAGGAACTCCAAACCTTGGAATTATTTCTTGTAGTAACCACTTTACTACTTCCTTTGCTTGTGTGGAACAACAGGGAAAAGCCTCCGGCCATCCTGTAAAAGTATCAACCCCCACCAGGATGTATCGATACCCATTTTGCCTAGGTAGTTCTGAAAAATCTACTTGCCAATAATCTCCAGGCTCTGTACTAGATTTTATTTAACCCATTTGAACCTTTTTCCTGATTACTGGATTATTTTTCAGACATACTTCACATTTTGCAATTATTATTTTAGCCATTCCTAACATTTTGAGCGATACCACCTGTTTTTGTAAAGAAGTTACTAAGGCTTCTGCTCCCCAGTGGCATTCCTGATGCTTTGTTTGAATTATTTCTCTCATCAAAAAGGGTGGAACTACTACCTGCCCTTTAGGTGTTACCCACCATCTGGCTCGGTTTTTCTTAGCATTTAATAATTGGCCTAATTTATCATCCTCTTTTGAGTATTTTGGTTCTTCCCTAGGAAGGGTTACTGTTTTGGAGGGAATTAATGCCATTTGGAATGCTCGTTCCTTTGCTACCTTTCTTGCCGTTCGGTCGGCTAAATTATTTCCAGCAATTTCCTTTGTGTTTC